GTGAGCGGCCGTCCAGAAGCCGGCGACTGATCTGCCTCGCCTGGGAAGAGCGCAATGATGGTGCCAACTTGGGCCAGTGAAGTAACGTCCTCCGCAATTAGACTGAAGAACAAAAGGACAGTAACTTGTCTGTTCCCCTTCCCCAATTCCTCAGCGCTGTTCCCATCCCCCAATTCCCCAATAAAAAAATTTTTTTAAATAAATAAAATAAAATAAAAATTAGAAAATTAGGTGCAACCTTAAGATTGCCCACTATTAATACTTGTATTGAATACTAATACTGGAAGTCCTAGCTAGCACGAAAATCCTAAGGCATGAAAAAGAAATGCTGTAGTTAGCATTGGAAAGGAAGACACAATTTGCATTCGTAATACTTTAATAAAATACTTTAGTTAAGGTAGCTGAACACACATCTACATACCAAAAAAGCATATATCAGCAAACAGAAAATGGAAAGAAAAAAATGAAAAATATATTATTTGCAATAGTAACAAGAAATAAGGTATCTAACAATTAAATCCTTGAGAGATAGTTATGAGAAAAAGAATATTTTACTGAAAGATGTTTTTAAATATCTAAATAACTAAAAAGATATAACAGGTTTAAGGATAGAAAGGCTCAATATGACAGAATTAAATGCATGTGTAGACTAAAAGCTACAGAGATTCTGAGCTCATATACAAGACAAGTCCTATTTTTTAATAACAGCTTTTGGGAGCTTGTTTGAAATTGTAGCAGGACAGCACTGCTATCCATGTACCCTTGACGGAAGAATGGTCCTCTACTCTGTGGGGAAGGTTGTCCTCTTCCACCGAGCATGCAGCTTTGGGAGGGATGAACATGGAGCAGTGAGGAAGGGGACACCCGTCTAGCCAGCCAGATCAGCCAAATCAACACTGGAGATCAATGGGGTGACAGATGTTGCAGCCAGATTGCCCTCACATCTTAACAGCTTTTGAATTTTTGCATAACTTGACTCAAATGACTCACTCCCATTTATGGATATTTTTGCAATTGGTATACACTTATTAGCCATGAATCACAGGTATTTTACTTTAACCACAGGTATTTTACTTTAGTAATAGTCGATATAACACTTCAGAACTCTGACAGCTGCAATGAACCCAAGTGAGGGAAGGACACAAGACAGTTTACAGCTGAGTTCTAGCTGAATGTGCTGTGGTTCAAAGGTCAGTCAAGTGTGCACATTCACCACAATGTAAGATGTAAGTTCTGATAGCCACTCCTGCAAGTGATGAAACGTAGCCAACATTTTACATAACACATAAGGTTTTGGTTCTTGGTAATTATTATCTGTAAACATTGCCAAAACACCATCTCCTTAAAAGCCACCTAAAAATGTAAACATTTATTCTGAATACAAATTACATTTACAGGAGGAAAAGAGACAAAACACATTCATAATACAATGATCGTACTGGGCTCAAAGGCTATCTCTAGTGGACTTAAGTGTTGTCCCTTGTACATGTGAGACCTACAAGCAACTGCCCAACTGTTTTACAATATATCTGAACTTGATCAAATGTATGATTTTCTTTAGGTCTAACTTATTCAAATTTAATTTTGGTTTATGTAAGTTTTGTGATATTGTATATTGCTGCTTGCATTTAGCTTTATCCAAATTTCCTAATGCAGAATTAGAAGTAATGATCATGTTTTACTGGTTGCTAGATGACAACACTAATAGTTAACGTTTATTGAATGCTTACTGTGTGCCCAGCACTGTTAAAAGTGCTTTGTGCATATTAAATCATTTAATCTTCACAACAACCCTATCAGGTGGATAATATTACTATCACGATTTTACAGATAGGAAAACTGAGGCACAGAAAAGTTAAGTAACTTTCCAAATGTCACACAAGTGGAGAAACTTAGGGATTCATACCCAGGTAGTCTGTCTTCAGAGCCCCAGGCCGTCAATTACTATGTTATGTTTCTTTTCGCAATATTTAAAAGATACACATATTACGGATGAAACAACTCACCACTAAAAAAAATTATCAGTAAGTGTTAAAACATCATCTGTTAAGCAATATTAATATCAGTACAACTTATCATAGGTTGATAACTTCACAGCTATTTCAAATTTTCATGGCCATGATTAAGAGTTTCGAAGTTGGACAGACCTGTCTCTGAATCTTGGTTGTGCCCTTTACAAGCTGTGTGACTTTGGACAAGTTTCGTAACTTCACCAAGCCTCAGTTTCCTCATCTGTAAAATGAGAATAATAAACATCTCACAAAATTGTTGTTAGTAACAAAATTATTGCTACATTACGCTAATATGCTAACTCCAAACAAAACACAGGTACATAAAACAAAAAGAAGAGGTTCTCAATGTCCTCCAGAAAACAGGAGTTTATTATGACGATATAACAAAGATAACCACTCCAAGTCACTGCAGCAACTATAAGACCCACACACTAACGTAGAACCACAGTCTCCTCTAATTCATAACAAATAATTCCCCTAGATAAAAGTCAAACGCCTAGAGGTAAATTACTGGATCTTTGAAATATAAAATACTGTATATACATAGAAAAAGAGACAATCAAATAAGACGCTGGTGTTTGTTCACAACAATGCCCACAAATCCCATTCCACACATATGCTTTGTAAGACTAGTAGTATTCAAGGGGCCGAAAACAGGAAGAGCTGTGTCAAGAAGGAGCAAGTCCTGGCATTGCTGGAAAGGAATTTTTATAAGACAAAAACAGAAAGAAATAGACATGTCAGCAAAGTAAAGTAGACTATCGTTACCACTGAAGAGTGATTATGTCCATTATACCTGGCATTTCACTAGTCAAAACAGCTTAAACTGTCAGAATCTCAATTAAATAATTTTAAAATAAATAACCACATTTCTACCAATACCTGCATTTGCCAGTAATATATTTGTGATAAGGTCAGGTGTTTCTTTGAAGGGAATATTTTTAGCAATACAATATAAAAATTTTTTAAAGAAAAAATAGGAATAATATTTTATAAAAATCCTATAGGATAATTTTGTTAAATGGCTCATCGATACTATTATTAAGGTGAGTTTTTATGAAGGTCGCCAGTCCAGTAATTGAATTATATTATTAAAATGACTTATTGCATAAAAATAATTATTAAAATGATGTGTTCATTGTAACGCAAAGATTTGATAAAAAAAAGAACTCCCACTCCCCAAAATACCCACTTTTAACAAATAATTGCAAAAGTGACCTTCAAATTTTCTTAATAAATTTGTAAAAGTATCTGTCCGTACCAAAGACCATCTAACTTTTACAAAGCACTATTTCTTAAGAAAACTTATTAGTCGTATAGGAAATACTTACGAAATCCTGAAGATACCTATTTAATAAATGTTTTAGGAAATAAATATAGGATATGCGGTACTCTAGGTTACTAGGCCATGAACTTGAAACAAAAAGAACTCAGTTCCTTCTGCTCTGTATCTTAACAATTTGGAATTTTTTATTTGATCAGCATTTCCTTCACTACTTTACTTTCTCTTAAAGATGAGAATAATTTTTTGTCCTTTTTTATGAATCCTATAAATAACTAATAAGGTAAAGTTGGTTCAATCACAACTCAAGTATATGAAGTTTTGTTTTTTTTATTTGTTTGTTTTAGAAACTGTTTCTTTTCCATCCACCTTATTTCCATTTTGCTGAAGAGTTTGTAAGAACAGCTTAAGGCCACTCAAGTGGTTGTTCCTACCCATTCCGTGGCCTGAGCAGTGGGGGCTGCAGACCAGTCTTCAGGGGCAGCTGAGCACTCCAGGCTTCGTAGGAAACTGCTGAATGGGCACAGAGGGCCCCTGCATGCCTTCAGACCAGCCTGCCACCTCAGGCTGAGCAGAGCAGTCCATTAACCCTGAAATTTCTCCTTGGTCACAGACTTTTCAGCAGCTGCCTGCTCTTCCTTTTCAATCTCTTCAGGATCTCTACAGAAGCAGAGATCAGGCATGACCTCCCACGGGGGCTCGTGGGAGATGGCGCCACGCATGCGCAGAACTTCCCCAGTCAGCACCCCCACATCAGACCCACTGAGTGAGGTCCCTTGTTGCTGCAAAGGATGGCAATGTCCACATAGTGCAGAGGAGAGTCTGTGTTACACACAGCAATGGTCCACAGGTTAACATAGACGCCTCTGTGAGAGGCTGGTGGTCAGTCCAGGGATCCGTAACCACTAGAAGTCTCAGCTCCCAGGAGGCTGCCTGGCCCTGGTTAGGGAAGGTCCCAGGAGTGAAGCGGCCAGCAATGGGAGTGGCTCCAGTGGCAGCAGCAAACTTCATCACAGCTCACTGGACAGTATTCTTGGACACTATGACACTGATATCAGCTGGGTTTTCAACGGCAACAATGCCACGAGCTGCCAGCTTATCCCAGGTTCTTTTCAGATTTATGATGTAGATGCATCACTTTTCCATTTGTGGATGTACTGTTCTATTTGGAAGTCAAGGTTGGTGCTACCTAATTGGTTTCCTGCTGCAAGGAATTTGAGGACATGCTCCTCCTTCCTTTGCAGGACATCAAGGGCTCCTGACATTGAGAAAAAGTCCCTTTAAGTTACATGGGACCCAAGAACAAGGCCATATGGGTCCCTCTCTGGGTAGCAATTTAGCAATTTTTAGGTAAATTTTTATCTTTATGTAACTTAGAGAAAATTTGCAAATACCACCAATTATTTACATTTTACTCCATTTGCTTTGCCATTCTCTCTCACACAATTTTTTTCTGAACTATGTGACAGTAAATTGCAGGTACTGTATGTACCATTTTAGTCCTCAGTATTTCTATGTATTTCCTAAGAACATGAACATTTGCTTAAACACAGTACAGCTAATCAAATCAGTATCAATGTTAAAATTTCTATTACCGTATATAAGTACAGCCCATATTCAAATGCTGTTAGTTTCCTTAAAAATGTCCTTTAAAGCTATTGATTTCCCCAGTCCAGAATCCAATTCAGGATCATGCACTGCATCTGGTGGTAATGTCTATTCAGAATCCTAACATCTGGACCAGTTCCTCAGTCTGTCTTTCAAGACTGATATCTTTAAAGAATACAGACCAGTTTATTTTGTAGAATGTCCCTCAATGTACCGTATTTGCCGGCGTATAAGACGATTTTTTGGCCCTGAAAAATATGCCTCCAAGTGGGGGGTCGTCTTATACGCCAGGTACACTTCAGATAGACTGCCCATAGTGCTTGCCCCGTGCCATAGTGGCCTCCCGATGCCCGCCCACTTCATTCCACATACCGTTCAGGCATCAGCAGCGCTGCTGGGTGTATGCTCGGCTGTTATGCGATTTTGCTGTTATGCGATTTTACCACACTTGCAAAATCGCACACAGCCGACCATATAACAAACTCTGTATTTTGAGTGGAAATGTTAGGGGGTCGTCTTATACGCCGGCAAATACGGTAGGTTTGTCCGATGGTCTCACATGTTTAAATTCAGGCTATGCATTTTCTGTAGGAATGTCACATAGTAATGTTGGGTCCTTCTCACTGCATCATATCAGAAGCTGCAAGAGGCTAGTGGGTTCTATTACCAGTGATGCTTATTTTGATCGTTTGGTTAAGGGGTACCTGCAAAGTTTCTCCACTGTAAAGTTACTGTTTTTCTTTTTGTATCAAGTAAATATTTTCTAAGGAACTATCTTAAAGCTGTGTAAATATCATATTCCTCATCAAATTCTCACCCAATAGTTTTGGTGTGAAAGTACTATTTATTTTTAAAGGTTTTATTGGGGAATTGGGGGAGGGGAACAGCGTTGGGAAATCGGGGAAGGGGAACAGACAAGTTGCTGTCCTTCTGTTCTTAGTCTAGTTGTGGAGGACATTGCTTCACTGGCCCATGTTGGTATTGTGATCATTGCACTCTTCCCGGCTGAGACAGATCAGTCACTGGCCATTGGACAGCCGCTCACGGCGGCTCACGCTGGCTCCCAACCACTCACGCTGGCTGCCGGCCACTCACCATAGCTCATGGCAGCCCACTGCAGCTCCACTGCAGCCTACACCATTGCTGGCGACTCAGGGCAGCCCAGCTCCAGGTTGAGCTGTTGTTCACCATCTTAGCTGTAGAGGGCGCAGCGTCACTGGCCCTCATGTGGGATCTGAACCCCGGGGCCCGCTGCTCAGAGAGGGCGTCTCAAGCCAACTCCTAACCAATGTGCCACTTAGCTGTCCCTGAAAGTACTCTTTTAATTGTTCCAAAATGGTCAATTTCTAACTCCAACAGTTCTACATTTGTATTTGCTATTTTAAGGAAAAACTTTCCCTTCTCCCCCACTTAGTTATTTATTCATTCAATTACTTATATTTGTATGGACCCACTGGTTTTTATTTTTCAATGGGCTATAATAATCCATAACTATTATTATTGGTTTGGCTAGTGGACATTTCTCCAAACAGGCTCTCGTTCCTTCTGACACGTCCCCATCATTCTTTGAATACCTTCTGACTCTGTCAAACAATAACATGTTCTAGACTCCTTGTGTACTTTCCCTGATCTAATTCTTCCTGGGCTCAGACTTTTCTCCAAGGAGCTCTGGTTTCTTTAGAAACTGTTGGGTTGTCAGAAAAGTCATGATGTATTTTGCTATGTTTTTCATTGCAAAAACTCATCATGACTTTCCCAACAACCCAATAACATATGAGAGTGTTAGGTGTATTCACTGTTATGAAAAAGGTAATTACTTCTAGGCCCTCTTAGCAAACAAAGCTGGAATATACATACATACATACATACATACATATATATATGCATATTTGTGCACATACATATGTATACATACAAACATACACATCTATATGAGAAATATATATATAAGTGTATATATGCATACATGTCTATTTCTCTATCTTTATATAAATATTAAGAGCCATGAGTTCATAACCTCTAATTCAAATCTAGTATCACAGGGTTCATTCTAGCCTTCTTTTCCATATATAAAACTCCCTTCTCCAACAATGAAAAGCCTGGTTCCCATTATCCTCCATACACTATTCTTTTGTTCAATCCTAGACTAGATAGAAAATAGTTTCAAAATTTCCAATTCATACCATTCCAAAAAAACCCCAAAATACCCCAGCCTACAAACTAGGGCTCATTATTTGTTTATAATTATTTTTATTTTGCGTTTGTAAGTATACCATGCTCAAAATTAAACTGATTCTCAAAAAATCTTTACATAATGTGTTTTAAATTCT